AACATCTTTTACAACTGACTGGAATGAAGAGAGCATGCGCAAAATGGTGTGACCATGAAAACAAAACCTTATAAACATCTTATTCTAAGAATTATTTTAAAAAATTATTGTCATTTATTAATATAAAATTTGAACTTCTTATTCAAGAATTTTGGATAAAAAGAAAATCAAAAATCGAAACCTCCGCCAATTACAGCTCAGTGGGCATACCATTGAAGAGGCCTCATGTTTGTACTGGCGTTCCTAACAGCGAGAGTAGAATTGTGTTATACTTACTCCACGAGACTCCACGTGGACGACCTCTCTTGAAGCCCATTCTGGTTCAGTGCTAACGACTATTAGGAACTAATAGTCCCTATTAGTTAGTACTTTTTAGTTCTTATTTCATGGTTCATGTGACTCTGCTCTATTGAACTCATTTATTTTCTCGTTTTCTTTTCATATATTTCAATATTTGTGTTTTCTTTTTGTGTTGTAGTTATTGTATTCTCTTCAATCATACCTGACCTTACATTGTACTTTAACATAGTTGCTAATTGTTTTAATCAGTCTACCTGTAACAATTAGCATGTGTCCTAAATTAGTTTTAATTTTAAATTTTGTAATCATCTTTGTACTTAAGACACAAAATAAAAAATATTGTATTGTATTGTAGTATTTAGAGATCAGATTCGTGTAAATAGACAAAAATGACAATATTTCTTTTATGTATGTGATATTCACTTCCTTGCTTCGCGCGCTTCAGGCGCGATACGCTGCGGCAGCAAACATATATCGAACTTATGAGGAAAAACCTATAGATGATTTTAGACAGATTGTGTAAGCTAGTACTACGAATAATTTCGACATCGTTGAAAATGGTGCTGGTCAAAGTCTTCGCGGTAACTCGAGGCGAACAAAGGATCATGCTGCAGGGACCGTTCCTCCTTTGGGTATTAAAGATTGCGTTGCGTAGCTGGGCCTTGGATCTATGCCTGCATGATAACACGAGTTAATAGTTTCTTTTGTTGAGTGAAGACTGTTCTGGTTTAATTATATGATTATTTTTCTATTTTGTCCATCAGCTGTAGCTGATTTTAATTGTATTTCTGTTAAAATTTTTTGTAGTTTTAGATCTTTAGGAAAACACTTTTCGCCTAGGCGCAGAAAACTCTTGCTAAGATTTGAGCTCACGTTTTTGCTATATGATGGGTTAATATTTATCCTTTTAAACCGTATGAGATTCAAAAGATAAAAGACGGGCGGGCATTTTGGAAGAATGCAACCTTGAGTAGGTGTCCGACTTTAAACTTAAATGTCGAATTTAAAACATGGATGTTGAATTTAAAACATGGATATCACAGATATCAAATTACAAACATGAATGTCGCATTTAAAACTTGGATTTAGAATTGCAAACATGGAAGTTGAATTCAAAACTTGGAAGTTGAATGTTTTACTTGGATGTAAAATGAAAATCTTGGATGTTGAATTTAAAACATGATTTTTGGCGGGGATATAACGCCATAATATAGAGACTAATGAGAAATCTTGTGAGAATTCTTTCAAGATGGTCGCTGTGACGTAACCTGAAAACGAAGAATATAAACAAATATACGCGCAATAATTTTATTTTCAACATGAATAAAACGTTTCTTACTTTCCTGGTTTGAAATATTTCGATTTTTAGAAAATTTACGACATTTTAGATGTGCTTTTGTTTATCCTACTTATATCAATAATATGTATACTTAGATGATATTGGGCCTGGGTTACCTGTGCTGTGACTTGGATGTTTTTTGTATTCATAAGTCATGTATTATTGTGACTTCCTGTGGTGGTCTAGCCATTACACTACGTGTCACAAAATACAATGTATTACAGAAAATTTGCTCAAAG